CAGTTGGCTTTGTGCCTAAGGTGGGACTAGAACTCCTGGTCTCCTGGTTTCTAGCCTGATGCCTTAACCACCACACCAAACTGTCAAAAATTAGTGCATTTTTATTACTTAACTTGCCTCTTGCCCTCTTATTTACTGTAATCCCAAGTAATTATTTGAAATGGAATTCTTACCATCTTTGGTGAGCAAAAGCAGTTTCCTTTAAAGAGTCCAGCTCTGACCTGCAAAGTGTTTCCAGTTAGCTGCCCTGATCTGGTTCCTTCCAAATGTATTAAGTTAAATTCCCATTGAGTTCCACTGCTGGATTGGAACAAGAATCCTTTAGAAAGGTGCTGAAGAGAGGAAAAAATCAGTTTTCTATTTTGAGTTAGTGGCTGAATTCACCCATATCTTCCATATCCTGTATTTAGTATAGCATTTAGTTCAGTAATGGCTGCTTGAAGTCTATATTAACCATAAAACTGTAAAAATAATAAAGATGCAGTTTCAATTAGCCTCATGCATGGTTTGGTCATAAGGAACAACACCAACCCGACCATTAGTTAGAGTCAAGTGATTGCTAAAGCAGATTTTAGATATGATAAAAGGCAGGGAATTGCTTATTTATTTTTACTGCCAGGCGCGAGAAGAAATATTTATGAAATGCTATACCTCACATGCTGAAATAATGTTGTGTGCTTGATTTATTGGCTGAGCCAAATTTGCTTTACCTCAGCCAGCGAAATGTCTTGAGACAGTAAGGCTCAATAATTTTCTAAAACATCTCTTAAAGTGCCTTCTGAAAAACAATAAATATGACAAAAAAGCAAAGCCATCAAGCAAGAATGATACAATAACCCCCTCTATCCTGCCCTGAATTATACGAAAGTGTTAACCCAAAGTGTGAAAAAAATGCAAACATGTAAATTGTATATTCAAAAATATAAACCATAACTCAGATATTCCCAGTAATGTTTTGGCAAATGAAGAAATGAATAAAGTGAAGAATATTCCTGGAAAGACTGGAAGTAGGAAAAGGATTAAGAAAACTTTTTAAAGGTAATGGGGGGGGGGAGGGGGAAGAAACCAGAGAAATGAGTACCTAGTATCTACAAACATATAAACGAAAACAAAATCAACCCAAAAACAATGCTTTCTGACATCTTAACAGAGTTTGAAAGTAAGCAATATGTCACAAAATAATAAATATTTCCTCGCTGAAAATATTCTGTTAGAAAAAAAACTTTTAAAAATGGATGTATGATTAAGAACTTCAGGAAGAAATAGCAGTGGCATCAGAAAACCTTTGGAAAAAGTGAAGATCTGTAATAAACACACAAAGGGTTAATTAGAAAGCTTTTGTAACAAGACTATTTCAGTATTAAAGAATAAAGCAGAGAAAATTGATGAGGACTCAATAATCTCATTAACCCAAACAAAAGATTAAGAGCAGACAAAATTGGGAGCAAACTCCAAATTAGGAGTGGGGAAGAAAATAAGAAAAACCTAAATGTGGGTGGATTTGATCTGGATTAATGAAATGCAGCCAACCAGTTTTTTCTCTATGTAGGTAGCCATTTGTTGGGTGAGCTTTTGGCATCTTATCCAAGGCTTTGGTGGGTGCAGAGGATGTAGTCCTGAGTTATAGAGGATGGTTAGAATACCTGATGCAGATTAGGGAGACCTGGTTTAAATCACACTCAGCCTGGTTCCACAGCTCATGAGCAATTCTGAGCGAATCATTAGTTCTCCTACTATTACCTCATTGGCCAGAGCACAAAACAAGTGAAGAGTGGGATAAAATGCTGCATGACACTTGGAGGAGTGGGATGTAATAGGGTAGCATTTAAATTAAATCATAATTTGTACAAATACAATGCTTGGGCGATTATGTTGTATCATGCAGGACACAGTATGCTTTATCCTTGTTGCAATACTCCATTCATATTAAAGAAGATAGAAACATCTTGTCAGACTGGCTGAAGAAGAGGGCACTGATCATTTAAGCTTCTGGTCTTGTTAAAACAAGCAGGGACATTTTGGTGGGGTGGTGGTGGAGAGAAGGTGTCAATAAAGTCAAAGTGGCAGCTGAGACTGCATGATTGAAACCTTACCCATTTTTTACAAGAGTCACATGTGCTACCTTGACGTTTTTGACCCAGATGCCCCTGAAAGCCACCAGCTTGAGTTGGATAAGCTGAGCCTAAGATCGATTTATACCTGGAAAGCTAGAAATGAAAAGTGAGAAACTGTTGATTTCTCTGCAAACCTGACCTATGCTAACTTCTGATTTAGGTCTCATAGCCCTGTACATATATCCATCGATGGCCAGAAATATAATCAAGGCCCTGGTTGGGGGAGCTGTATTGACTGCCAGTTCATTTCAAGGTGCTGGTCACCACCTACAAAGCTCTGAAAGGCTCAGGCTTGTGTATCTACAGTAACTAACCACCTTTTCCAGATGGATTCTGTCAGGCCATTTGGGACAGTCACAGAACACCTGCTGAAGGTGGCCCTCTTTCATGATGGTGGAAGTTTCTGCCTTCCTTTGGAACAGCTTGCCCCCCCCCCATCTCCCCAAGATGAGGATGGCTCCTTCTTATGGCTTTCTAGAAGCTTGCAAACACTTGGCTGTTCTGGAAGGCCTTCAGTGATGAACATGCACCCATCAGCCCTGGAGTGCCTTTTTCAGATTTTGCATTATTATGATTAGTAGTAATTTTAATTTTAGTATCTGTAGACCACTTACAGTTTGCTTGGGTTGAGTCAGGAGATAAATCACATAAAAAAATAAATGCATCTAGACCAGGAACAGATCTCATTTGAGAGTGAGGCCCATACTTGGCCTTTGGGAGCTACTCTCAAGAAAAGTATATTCAGGACAAAAACATGGATAAAATTAAGTTGAAGTCAATAGGCTTACTTTCCATGAATTCACTAATCATTGTTTCAGTATATTACAAATTACAGTTAGGGGCAGCTTCTGGAGAGCTTTGGTGCTACACTGAAGGTCATATCTGTGCCTGGAGATTCTGGTCCTGCAGCCTTGATTTAGCCTTGATTATCTGTATTTGCAAAGACATCTATGGCTGTACTCCAGAGTTAATACAAAACTAAGAAATTAGCATTCATTTTTGTCATCTGCTGTAACTTGAGGTATGAGAGACGTTCACTTTTTTTTTTTTTTGAGCTAATATGCAAAGTCATCTTCACATTAAGAGATGCAAGGAAATAATACAAAAAAGTATTCTGGTGAAACTGTTGAAGATATCCAGCTGAAACTTGGCAGGTTCATATAAAGGGACTATTGTATCTGCTATTTTCTCTCCCATTCTGTCAAAAAGAAATTTTGATGAATCCCTATTATAACCTAGGGACATTTTTTTTAAACTGAACCTTGAATAGATTCAAATCAAAGCTCAGATTATGTACATTTTACAGTCACTGAATGTTAATGGTACATCTGATTTGCAACTAATATAGTTAATATAGTTATTATAAAACTTAATAACAGGTATGTTTATAGATTTATGGAAGGACTTATCTAGGCAACTACTATTAAGGGTCTAGAGGAAATGGGTTGGGTTTTGTTTGTTTTTTTACATCAAAGTATAAAGCTTCAACTTACTTAACAAGCTCTTTTTTACCTTTGAACCCATCACCCCCTGCTGGAATAGTATGCTCATTACAATGGCCAAGACAGAAAATGAAACATACAATTTAAAGCTAGGAAAGCTTAATCCCAGCAAAATATTTTATTTGTGAGCATTTATTATATGCATACAGAATTCTTTAGTCTTAGAAGAGTTGAGTTGAATGAGTTTACAAGGTTTACAAAGCCAACATTCTCCCCTCCCACCCCCACCCCACTCTTTTGTGTGTATTGTCCTACATTTAGCATGCTACTAATTACATCACACTAAGCCAAAGCTTGGTACATAGCACTGAGTCAGCCCAGTGGTCAAACCAGGTCATTATTTCCTATACAAACTGACAGCCGCTCTCCAGGGTTTCACATAACGGAACTGACCAGTCCTACCTGGAGACCAAACCTGAAAATCTTTTGTATGCAGAGAAGAAGTTCTACTATTGATTAAGATCATTTTCAACACATTCCTAGTTTTTACTAAGCTTCTACTTCTCAAGAGAATGTCAAATGAGAGATGTGCTCAGCAGATATGAAATTTGGTAGCTTCTTGGTTCATCCACTTCAATTTCTGCTGGATATATATAGTTCACCAAAAACAAGTTCAGGACTCCTTGATTTTTCTGTATCACATTTAAACTTCTGAAAATATATCATGGCTGCTGCCACCCTGAATTCTTGATAAAGTATGTCCACATGCAAAATAACTGCCATGGTGAGGATATCATTGACTAGAAGACAAACTGGTAAGAGTGCTCCTTACCCTTTCATCTATCCCCTTCAGATGTTCCCTACAATCTGACAGTCTTTCTCTCTGTGATTACAGACACACACACACACGCATGCACATGCTTCATTCTAGGCAAACAGGCACATGCCCAAACAAACCAGTATGTGGTTTGCTGATCGAGTCCAGGGGCACTCCTAGAAACAAAATATGTAGGAAGCTGGCACTTTGTTTGACAAAAGACTAACTTCCCATTTATGTACATTATTTTAATTAACATCTCATTTGATATATTCTAGAATATATGAGGACAGAGGTGTGCTTGCTATATCTTATCTCTGTGACTGTATGTGCTTTGCTGGGCAAACAATAGCCTTCTTCACTCAAGTAGCTTCACCAAAGCTTCCACAAGTGGAGTGAGTTCTAAATCACAAGAGAACCTGCTTGCATACAGCAAACATCACAATTCAGAAATACCCCTTCCAATAAATGAAGAGGAGAAAGGATCTAGAAATTAGGGGGTGCCCAGCAAACATGGCCTCCATTCCAGCTTCAGAAGCAATTTACATTCTATGTGAATGAAGGCCCTCTATATCAGGGTTCCTCAACCTCAGCAACTTTAAGATGGGTGGAGTTCAACTCCCAGAATTCATGGTTGGCTGGGGAATTCTGGGAGTTGAAGTCCACCCATCTTAACGGTGCTGAGGTTGAGGAACCCTGCTGTCTATGGCTTTCCTTTGTTGACTTAACTGGCATCAGCAGCATGGTGTAAGGGGGACTAACAAACCCAGAGAGTTATTGCAGAGCATAAGAGAGCAGTTTAATTTTTTGGACTTTCAAAACTCACTTGGAATGGTGCAACCCATGTCCTCATCACTCAGGGAATTAATTAGAGCTCTTAATATTTTAAGAATGGTGCAGGAAAGAACAACATGCAATAGAAAAGAGCTCGTACTAACAAAATTTTTAAAATCCTGGGTTTGCTGGTATAACGATTCCATAAAATCAAATCATTAAACCAGGGAACAAAAGGCAATTGGGTCCCTATTACCAAAGGCCTTCGGATATTTTTTCAATGTCCAAGCCTAGCCCACGATCCTGGAATTTTATCACTGTCTCCCACACTGGTCCTAATCACGTTTGGTGCTGCTTAATGTTTTTCAGCATCAGCCGGAATTGGTGAGTGCTGCCCCCTGTGGTGGCGATGAGAGCTAGAAGGCTTTTGAAGGAATTAGCCGAATTATGCTTGAGGGCTACTGAGTGCTAATGCAAGTACCTATGCCTGGCTGTCCTGCAGGGTTCAGGTGTTGGAATGGTATCGCACCCTTTAAAATCTCCCTGAGCAAATTAAAATATCAAAAGCGTATTTCCTACACTCTGCTGTAATGGCATATGCAGGGAGTTGCAATAAACGGAGTACTAAATTCTAAGTGCTCTGCTCATGTGTGTATATATATTCATGGACTCTAAAATAATATGATTCAGTACGAGATTCATACTACAGAGATACTGTTAGTGTATTTTATTAGCTGGCAAGTGTGGGCATTTTAACACAGCACATTTAAAGGCACCAGGTTGGGAAATACCAATATAAGGCATAATGTTTACAAAGTATCCAATCGATATTTTGTTATTGAAGAATCTGTATAAAGCCGAATATAAATGAAAAAAGAAACTGAGGACTATAGGAGAAGAGTGCAAAGCCCACGGTCTTCCATATATTGTAGGATTCCAGCTCTCATCGGAATTCATTCTCATGGCCAACAGCCATTGATAATGGGAAATACAGTCCAACATTTAGTGGCCTAAGGTCACACCCCTCTCTAGAATAATTTTTGAAATATATGAATACACCGAGGTCCCTATCTTGAGAAACATCCTGCAACAAGAAATCATGAGCACCTAGAAGTGCCTAAGAATTAAAATCATAAGCAATCAAGTTAGTAATACAAAAATCTTTGGATTCTGCCATTTAATACTGCTGATTTTGTTAAAAATGCCCCAATACAGTAGACATGCAGAGGACTTTGAAATAAGGCAAAACTTGGTTTCACAGCTTGATTTCCTTCCCATTAGGACATCATCTTTTTCTTGCACTCCACTGAGCAGAAAACCATTCCTTCTACTGGCATGAACTTCTGGCCAATCAAACACTTGCTGCAGCAGGAGCACAGAAAGCACTCCGTGGCAGCATGCCAGTTGAAGCTGTTATAACTCACACGTTGAACTTCGGGGTCAATAGCATTGTGGCAGCCTTGGCAGACCTGGGGAATAAAGGAAACTTTCAGAGTTTGGAAGTAAGGAAGCCCAGGATATTCAGCACAACATAACCATAACTGACCAGTTGAAATTAGTCAACTTTTCTAGATCTAGCCCACAAAAATGCCAATGATCTCATTACTTGTAGTGCACTTAAATGTATGTGCATGTTTAGCATGTTACTTCTCCCCCCTTGCAACTACGCCCTCTTGCACCACGTTGAACTGATTTGAAGACTCTTTCACATTCAGAATGCTCTCTGAGAATAGTCTGGTTCACACCCAACCCCAACTTTAATGCAGGATTTGAAAGTTATGGTTGGTCAAACAATCTGTAGTGTTTTGATTCAGACAAAGTTAAACCACAGTGGGTGGTTTCCTAGTTGGGGTGGAAACTCAGAAATGGAATGAATAATTTTTATCCAGCATTGTATAAATACTACAGTATCGAAATAATACAATGTACAATGTAAGCTTTACAGCAATATAATAATAATAATAATAATAATAATAATAATAATAATAATAATAATCCATTTTGAGGGTAGAGTGA